TATCTACCGGCCTTCTTCAGGTGATTGGAATGTCGAACTGAACCCTTTATTTCGCTCACTGGGGTAGACTGTTCTAGTTCCACGTGCCATGTTTTAATGGATGTCAGTTATCAGTTATCTCCTGTTAATTTTCCCTCTGAAAGTTCTCCACTGCCTTAACCGGGTATTGAACTCACACCGAGTATTTATTTATTTTAACTATTTCATCGATAACACGATGAAAGAAATAAGGAAGTATAACGTTTCCATCTGTTAGTTGAGATTATCATATAACAGACAGCATTAAGTTTTGTTTAATTCAAATAACAATATTCCCAAATAAAGATGAATTAAATAACATGGTAGAATTAGCAATCTAGATCACACCGAGATAAGTCTGAATTCCCACCCAAGGAGAAGACAACGGAAACAATATATATATATATATATATATATATATATATATATATATATATATATATATATATATATATATATATATATCCGTTTGGTTTGGTTTGGTTTGGTTTGATTTACGGCATATCAACTTCAATGGGTTATTTAATGCCGACAAGATTTTTATTGCTGGTAATATTTTGATTTGTCAAAAATCTATTTCTGGTAATAATACTTTTTTTTTTTTAAATGTTGCTGGTAATATTTTTTTTTCAAAAATGTACTGCTAATATATTTTTTTCTCAAAAACATTGTTGGTAACATTTTTTTTTCAAAAATGTATGACTGGTAATAGTTATTTTTTCTTCAAAAATTTATTACTGGTAATAATTTTTTAGTAAGTATTTAAAACCTATTTTTACACTTTCATAGTGTTTTTTTTTCCCAGTTTTTGGGTTAACTATTTTCCCATAGGTGGGACCCTAACAGGTGCTACCACCCCGGGTCAGGGTGGACCTGGGAACACCATCAATTAAGAGGTGGTTCCACGCTCCTCAAAATCTGATCAGAGACCTTGCTGCTGGACGTAGTTTATCGTCTTACCCAGGATGGTAAGAGGTAGTGAGTTTCACTGTCGGGAAGTACGATAGAAGAAGCTGTTGAAGTAGAAGAGGCGGTTAAATTTAATTGTTTCGACAGTAAACGGTTAGGACCGAGATGCCAATTTAGTGGACACGTTTAAACTCATGTAGTTGGGGCACTAGGGAAAATAGCTTATTAGAATAGTTGCCATTGAAATATTTGTAGAAAAGACAGAGGGAAGCCACATCATGTCTGTGAGACTGCGACTGCGGTCAATCTGTAAAGTTAAGACTGATCACATTACATGTCCGTCTTTGGATTTTGTCGAGAACCCCGAGATGAACAGTGGGGGCACCAGATCAGATATGGCAACATTATCCAATGCATGGACGAATGGTAGATTTGTAGATATGAAAGATGGTGTCAGACTTCTGGAGCCACATAGAGAACAAACTTTCCTTGCTGTAGATGTAACTATTGATTCAATGTCGTTGTTCCACCTCAGGTCAGTGGAAAACAGGAGACAAAGAAGGCACAGTGAGCCGCTCTCATGGAGTTGATCATCAACCATGCTGATAGGAATCAGGGATATATATATATATATATATATATATATATATATATATATATATATATATATATATATATATATATATATTATCATCCACAGACTGTTTCGCTGTATCACATTGTTAGAGTTGAACACACCTATTCTATAGTTAATAGACTCTCCCACCTATAATAAGTTGGACTTTGGACTTTGGGGGCTTACAGTACCAGGTGTTTCCAAGCGGTCCCCCATCTAAGTAGTGACCTGGCTCTACGATGCTTAACTTCGGTGATCGAACGATAACCGGTGTTTTCAGCGTGATTTGACCGTAAGCAAAGTCCAACCCTTACCTCACAGTCGGTGGGGGGGGTGTAAACGGTAGTATCAGAGCTATGCCGTCCGGAACTTCGTTCCTGGTAGGGCCACCCAAGGCGGACAGGTCTGACACACACGCCGGCTAACAAGGGCTCTGGTGAAAATCCAAGGAGCGTCTGCATCGGTAACCGGCGGCTTCTGGTCGTTCCTGTCTCTGCGTCTGTGGGAACCCCGCGGCAAGCAAGAACGATATCCGAGTAGGCCTGGGTACCCTACTTCTGTAATTTATCCCAAGAATCTTCTTCTCACAACAGGAAGAAGCCGGCTCAATCCGCCCAGGGTGAATGCCGCATCACACACACCTATAATAAGTAGGAGTAGTAAGAGTAACGAGTCAGTCGGTCAGTCAGTCGACTGGCTGATCGGTTGAACTCTCTGCCTTCGGGAACCCGAAGGAGGCTACGCCGAAGGGCGGATTCTCTTTTCGGGGAGGTAAACCGACCCTGAACCCGTTTATACGTGTTCAATGGGCATTTTTTTGGCCGAGCACAAGGGCTCGGAGATCCCACATTAAATAACCGGCCTTGTGTCACATGATGCCCCAGTGGGGTGGGTGACTGAATATTGTCGGTCAGTCAGTCGATGTCGGACGACAGTTAGTCGAATACTAAACTATCAGCGACCGCAACTAGATTACTCTGCGTTATATCTATTATATCAAGTTTTGTACGTCGAACCTATTTTAGGACCGACTTATTAGGTTGGTGCAAAAATAACGGACGTAATAATGTCGTTTTTCGACGTATTTTTTAACGTCAAAAAACGACATTATTATTACGTCATTATTTTTGCACCAACCTAATAGTACAAATACAAGCCTCCACTGTGAAATCACTCCACAACTCACATCCCATAAGTCTGGCTAGACGTCCGGTGGCCTCTAGCTAGGATCGAAACCCAGCTGAATTGGCATCAAGCAGAAATTCTATGCCTAAGCAATTGGCGCACGTCAGGGATGAAGGTGAATTTAAGTGTATTTATTTATATATATATATATATAATATAGCACACATTGGGATACACACACACACACACACACACACACACACACACACACACACACACACACACACATATATATATATATATATATATATTAAAAAGACATTTTTTATTTTTAACGTTGTTATTTATAATGTCCGAGAAACTTAAGCAAAATATCTGTTTTTGACAGGATTTTCTAATAAAATTTCCGGACATTCAGGCCGGTAAATGTTATTTAATACTGTTTATCATAAACAGAGCATTTGCTTAAATACTTGTATCTATAAATAACAACGTTAAACATAAAAATGTCTTTAATAAATAAATTGTCGGACCTTGTCCATTTCTTAACACACACACACACACACATATATATATATATATATATATATATATATATATATATATTTGTTCTATCTCTATCTATTTTAGCCTATTTTATGCGTGCGTGTTTGTGTGTGTCTGTGTATTTGCGTGTGCAGCAGCAGCTGATCATGTGTATGAAAACGAGGAAGGCAGTAGATCTGCTGCAAAAGTTCATCGTTAAGTATGGTAATCTCTCATCATGTGATCAGCGATTGGAAACAATTTTTGCTTCAGTAAAAATTTACAAACACTGAAACTGAATGGCAGAAAGACGTATGGGCAGTGTAAAGTGAATAGAATACCAACCGATTAGTGAAAAAAAAAATAAAAACGACGAGCGTGAATTCTGATTACATGTTAGGATCAGCTTCAGTCAAGATATGGCATAAACTATTTAAGGATCGGAGAGTTTTTCTCTTTTCTGATTGGTTATAAATAGTTATTTAATTTCTGATTGGTTTGAAAAGATAAATAACGAAAATCAAATTCTTTTAAGTTGTGATCTTACTTTTGCATTAGATCTTTTCTAATTCATTTTCTTTAACGTGCAATCTTGGAATTAATAATGTTTTCGTCCGTCCTGGGTATGACTATAAACTACATCCACGTCCTGGGTAAGACGATAAACTACGTCCAGCAGCAAGGTCTCTGATAAGGAAGTTTTGAGGAAATTATTACCAGCTATACTTTTTTGAAAAAAAAAATTTACAAGTGATACATTTTTGAAGAAAAATTATTTGCAGAAATACATTTTTGAAGAAAAAAAATACCAACAATATATTTGAAAAAAAAACATTACCAGCAATAAAAAATCTTGTGGGCATTAAATAACACATTGAGGTTGATATGCCGCAAAACAAAACAAACGAAACCAAATACCTAGCTCTTACTTGCTTCCCTGATAGCTATTATATTCAAAAATATAAATATAATGCCAATCGACATCTTCTAATGCCTTGATCCCCGTTCTTCTTTTTTATGCTTTCCTCTATACCCAGTTTATCTCTTACTTTCACCCACTGTAGCCTCTTGTGTACTAGTGGCACTCCCGCTCTGCTTGGGTGAAATGCTTATAATATATAAGCATTTTAAGGAAGCATTTTTTAAAGGAAAATATGAGACGATGTCTACAAAAAATGCTATTTCATTTCTTTGATTTAATCAATTTTTATAATTATTTTTTTTTTCAGAAACTTAATAATATATAACTTTTTATGTAGGCACAAATGACGTGGGTCATTTAAAGATCTACATGTCCTCGTTTTTTTTATTAGTTTCCATTTTACTGTAGGTGTTTTATTCGTTTTCTTTTAAATGACAAAAATATTTGGATAGGGATGTTTGGTTGCGATACATAATATTATTGAAGGAAGTCAGATGTTGGTTCCATCTTAATTTAAATTCATTTTTAATACATCCTATATAGAATTCAAATTTTAAGTTTAATTTAACATTTATGTTTTGGTTTCGAAACAGTAATTTCTGTGTCGTGATGGATACATATTTTTTTAAAAATAATTATGTATATATATATCTATATAATTATATTTATATATATATATATATAGAGAGAGAGAGAGATAGAGAGAGAGAGAGAGAGAGAGAGAGAACGAGATATAGATATAGAAGAGTGATAACAATATAGAATATACTTCCTGTTGAATAGAGACAAATATGACCAGAGCAAGATAGCTAGATAGATGAATAGATATGAACAAACACTGATAAATAGATGTGAACAGACTGTGATAGAAGGATATAAACAGACTGAGATAGATATGAAGAGACTTGGAAAAATAGATAGATAGATAGATAGATAGATAGATAGATAGATAGATAGATGAAGCAACTTCGATAACTAAATAGATATGGTATAGATAGATATGAAGAGACTTTGACAGCTAGATAGATATGAACAGACTGAGATAGATAGATAGATAGATAGATAGATAGATAGATAGATAGATAGATAGATAGATATGAAGAGAATTCGTGAAATAGATATGAAGAGACTGCGATAGATAGGTCGATAGTTAGGTATATATATAGAGAGAGATATGAAGAGACTGCGATAACTAGATAGATATGAATAGACTATGATAGATAGATAGATAGATAGATAGATAGATAGATATGAAGAGACTTCAGTAGATAGATACGTAGATAGGTAGGTATATAGATAGATATGAAGAGACTTCGATAGCCAGATATGAAGAAACTGTGATATATATATATATATATATATATATATATATATAGATAGATAGATAGATAGATAGATAGATATGAAGAGACTGCGATAGATAGATAGGTAGATAGATAAATAATGTAGATCAGGATTTAGAGGCCGCTGTAACCAGCCGTGTAGTCAATAGCCAAAATGCAGCAAATTCCTAATCATTAAATCACGAATCGTTTAAAAACAAATATGCTTGTTTTTCTCTCTGATCACTGATTACCGGTGGATTATAAACAAGAAGAATATCCTGCACTCACATCGCATTGCAATTTCTCGTGAATTATTTATTATAATTACTGCATTTGATGGTATAGAAAACGCAATTTTTCAAAGATACATAAAAGCGTTACGAGTCGCAGGAGGAAGAACACCGCAGCCATTCACACTGCAACCCGAAACGGAAACTCTTTCGTTTGTCCGCTCATGAAATAACGAACGTTTCCTGTTTATCCCAAAACTGCTTCTTTTCAACTTATCTCCCGCTGCGAAAAGGCAAGCCACATTCTTTCTCCTTTAGTCTATAAATCTTAAACTTGTCTAATAATGGGAGAAGTGGAGCCACGCCCTTTTATGCAGTGCACAAAACTGCTACTTCTCAACTGCTAATATTTTAATGCCAACGAATATAGGAGTTCCTACGTTACTTAGTTGTGCAACATGGCATATACGATATTAAACATTTCTTACCAGTCCAGAATATCACAAATTAAAAATTACTTAGCAACCCAGTATGTCACATAAGAGATTAGATAATACATAGCAGTCGAAAATATCCTATAGCAGATTAAATATTACTTAGCAGTCATTTATCACATTAGATAGTACTTAGCAGTCCTGCATATGATATAGCAAATTAAACATTACTTGGCAGTCCAGCATGTCATGTCGAAGATTAGACATTATCAGTTCAGCTGATATATAGCAGATTAAATTTTAATTACCAATCTAGCATGCCATATAGCCCATTAAACATTACTTAGAAGTCCAGAATGCCACATAGCAGATTCAACATTTCTTAGCAGTCCTTAATGTTGTATAGTAGTTTAAGCTTTACTTAATAGTCCAGCATGCCATATGGAAAATTAAACTTTACTTAGAAGTCTAGAATGTCATATAGATAATTAGAAATAACCGCTCAGTGCAGCATACCATGTAGAATATTAAAATTTACTTAGCAGTCTAATATGACATATAGAGGAAATACTGAATATTAATCTAGCATGCAATATAGCAGAGTAAACATTGCTTATCTGTCAAGCACGTCATAGCAGTTTAAACATTATTAGCAATCCAGTATGTCATATAAATGACTAGAAATAATCCAGCATGCAATATAGAAAATTAAACATTACTTATCAGTCTATCATAGCATATAGCAGTTTAAACATTACCTTGCAGTCTAGCATGTCATATAGCAGTTTAATCATTACCTAGCAGTTCACTATACCATAGAGATGATTAAAAATAACCTCCCAGTCCAGTATGCAACATAGATTAAACATTATGTATCAGTCCAGCATGCCATATAACAGATTAAACATTACTTAGCAGTCCATCATGTCATAGAAATGATTAGAAATAACCTCTCAGTCCAGCATGCCATATAGCAGATTAAACATTACTTAGCAGTCCAGCATGTCATAGAAATGATTAGAAATAACCTCTCAGTCCAGCATGCCATATAGCAGACTAAACATTACTTAGCAGTCCAGCATGTCATAGAAATGATTAGAAATAACCTCTCAGTCCAGCATGCAATATAGCAGATTAAACATTACTTAGCAGTCCAGCATGTCATAGAAATGATTAGAAATAACCTCTCAGTCCAGCATGTCATATAGCAGATTAAACATTACTTAGCAGTCCAGCATGTCATAGAAATGATTAGAAATAACCTCTCAGTCCAGCATGCCATATAGCAGATTAAACATTACTTAGCAGTCCAGCATGTCATAGAAATGATTAGAAATAACCTCTCAGTCCAGCATGTCATATAGCAGATTAAACATTACTTAGCAGTCCAGCATGTCATAGAAATGATTAGAAATAACCTCTCAGTCCAGCATGCCATATAGCAGACTAAACATTACTTAGCAGTCCAGCATGTCATAGAAATGATTAGAAATAACCTCTCAGTCCAGCATGCCATATAGCAGATTAAACATTACTTAGCAGTCCAGCATGTCATAGAAATGATTAGAAATAACCTCTCAGTCCAGCATGTCATATAGCAGATTAAACATTACTTAGCAGTCCAGGATGTCATAGAAATGATTAGAAATAACCTCTCAGTCCAGCATGCCATATAGCAGATTAAACATTACTTAGCAGTCCAGCATGTCATAGAAATGATTAGAAATAACCTCTCAGTCCGGCATGCCATATAGCAGATTAAACATTACTTAGCAGTCCAGGATGTCATAGAAATGATTAGAAATAACCTCTCAGTCCAGCATGCCATATAGCAGATTAAACATTACTTAGCAGTCCAGCATGTCATAGAAATGATTAGAAATAACCTCTCAGTCCAGCATGCCATATAGCAGATTAAACTTTACTTAGCAGTCCAGGATGTCATAGAAATGATTAGATATAACCTCTCAAGTCCAGCATGCCATATAGCAGATTAAACATTACTTAGCAGTCCAGCATGTCATAGAAATGATTAGAAATAACCTCTCAGTCCAGCATGCCATATAGCAGATTAAACATTACTTAGCAGTCCAGCATGTCATAGAAATGATTAGAAATAACCTCTCAGTCCAGCATGCCATATAGCAGATTAAACATTACTTAGCAGTCCAGCATGTCATAGAAATGATTAGAAATAACCTGTCAGTCCAGCATGCCATATAGCAGATTAAACATTACTTAGCAGTCCAGCATGTCATAGAAATGATTAGAAATAACCTCTCAGTCCAGCATGCCATATAGCAGATTAAACATTACGTAGCAGTCCAGCATGTCATAGAAATGATTAGAAATAACCTCTCAGTCCAGCATGTCATATAGCAGATTAAACATTACTTAGCAGTCCAGCATGTCATAGAAATGATTAGAAATAACCTCTCAGTCCAGCATGCCATATAGCAGATTAAACATTACTTAGCAGTCCAGCATGTCATAGAAATGATTAGAAATAACCTCTCAGTCCAGCATGCCATATAGCAGATTAAACATTACTTAGCAGTCCAGCATGTCATAGAAATGATTAGAAATAACCTCTCAGTCCAGCATGCCATATAGCAGATTAAACATTACTTAGCAGTCCAGGATGTCATATTAGATAAACCTGTCCAGCATGCCATATAGCAGATTAAACTTACTTAGCAGTCCAGCATGTCATAGAAATGATTAAAATAACCTTCAGTCCAGCATGCCATATAGCAGATTAACATTACTTAGCAGTCCAGCATGTCATAGAAATGATTAGAAATAACCTCTCAGTCCAGCATGCCATATAGCAGATTAAACATTACTTAGCAGTCCAGCATGTCATAGAAATGATTAGAAATAACCTCTCAGTCCAGCATGCCATATAGCAGATTAAACATTACTTAGCAGTCCAGCATGTCATAGAAATGATTAGAAATAACCTCTCAGTCCAGCATGCCATATAGCAGATTAAACATTATTAGCAGTCCATGTCAAGAAATGATTAGAAATAACCTCTCAGTCCAGCATGCCATATAGCAGATTAAACATTACTTAGCAGTCCAGCATTATAGAAATAACCTCTCAGTCCAGCATGCCATATAGCAGATTAAACATTACTTAGCAGTCCAGCATGTCAGATGGAAAATTAAAAATTACTTAGCAGTCCAGCATACTATATAGGAGATTAGACATTATTTAGCAGTTCAGAATACCATTCTGGTGAGTAGGTTTTATGTAGCAGTTCAACATTCCATATGAGAAATTCAGTATCAGTTAGCAGTCCAATATTGTTTTCTTTGCCTATAATGACATCCAATGATGTGATCCAATAAAACCTACGCAGTTTTCTGAGAAGCATCTTTCCCTAATTTTATACGCCTTCTGTTCTGTGCGACACATTTTCAGTTGTTTATTACTACACTATGTAGATAGTTCAATTTTCGGTTCGGTTTGATTGTGTCGTCTCTGATACGTAACTCATAACGAGATCACTCATTAGTTGCCATCTATACATTCTGACGTTTTTTTTTTTTTGTTTGTTTGCTTTTTATCATTTCACTGCAAGGCAGTAAAGCCACTAAGACACAAATAGTTACTGAGTGTAAAATAATGTGTGCACGTGTGAAAATGTTACATCAAGCCAATTCAACTGTAAATCGATGAGAACTTTTGCTCCTCTACAGGGTGTCCCTAAAGTCTTGGCACAGGAAATATCATTAGCGTTATCGTACAGATTAATTTTGGTTTTGTCAAAAGAAGAAAGAACTGGCTTATTTTTCAGGGATATGCAAAAGAAGAAGGTGTACTCATTGAAAATCACAAATGCAACACAATTGATTGAATGCATAAAGAGTGAATGTGCTGAAATTGACGGCAATATGAAGTTCTTGCATCGAGTTCACGTAAATCATGCAAAGTACATCAACCTTTGCATAGCAAATGATGAAAATCATATGGAAGATGTTATTTGCTAATATTCCAATTCAATAAAATGTTGAAAATTTAATTTTTTGAAAATATGCATTTTTCTTATATGTCCAGGCTTTAGGAACATCCTGTAGTACAGAGTTTTAATTCATAAAGTCAATGCACCATAGCATAGAGGAGGTGGCACGGTGGAGTAATGGATAACGGCATGGATTGAGGAGAGCCGAGTTCGAATTCCAGTCGAATCCTTTACATTCACTTACATAATAATACCCATGGGAAAGGTATGAAATCCTCTTCTTCTCTCCACCTCCAGCTATCGGCAAATAGCAACTGGATGGCAACTGGTTTACCAGAGAAAGAAATGGCAACCTACAGCGGGAAAATATGCCTCGTCAGTCATGTATTGAAAGATACATGATCGCCTAAGCGTGTAAAACGCATGGCACATGACTGACTGACCATAACGTAAGGCTCATTAGAATAATTAGCATGAAAGTATTTATAGAAAAGGCACATGAAATCTGCATTACGGCGCTGGGAAAGTGACTGAAGCCGAGATGCCAGGTCAGCACTAATAACATTGCCTAATCTTTGGATTTTATCAAGAATCTTTAAATATATAACGGGCCATATGTGGCAGCAATATTGAAAACATGAGTGAACTGTAGACATATAAACAAGTAAGATAGACTCTGTAGAACGATACAGTGAATAAACTTTCTTAGCATCAGACCTAGAAATTTCGGTTCGAAATTCCAACATATTACACCTGAAGAAGGGTGGGGCGTACAAC